TTAATTTTCAATTTAAAACTTACAAATTATTTTGGTCTTTCTCTTCAAGTATGAAAATAATTCTCTTCAAGTATGAAAATAATTAGGTAATATGTAATTTACTTCTATATTTTATCATCCAAGTGTGAAATAAATCATACATTTTAAGTGAAGTCATTTTATTTTACTTCACAATCAAATTACAATTTTTTAATGTTTTTGTCATTTTTTCTGGTAGTAACTTTTTTCTTGTGGTTTTCATTTAATAAAAACGATTTAAACATTATGTAAATTATTCATAAGATTAATAGTTTAAAATAGGGATTATTGTACAGAATAACAAACTAATAATCTAAAATAAATGGAATAGCTACTGTTTGATTTAATTGTGCTCATAAAAAGTTTGTCAGTTGCATCTCTCCCTAAACTCTCGCTCGCTACTCTCCCGTTCTCGCTCGCCACTCTCCCTCTACTCGTCTCTCTCTTTTATATAACAGAAGTGTATAATTTGCGTTTTTCTGTTTTGTATAAAGCGAGAGAAAATTGTATATACACATGCAAAGACATATATCTCCATGCTATACACTTAATTATACAATATACAAACATTTTACTTTGATTCAATTGTATAGAAATGCAAATTTTATACAGATATTGTAGCGAAATAGGCCAGCAAATTATACAATTGTAGCGAAATACAATTTTCTCTCGATTCATACAAAAGAAGTGAATAAATTGTGTTTCTGTATTGTATAAAGTGAGAGAAAATTGTATATACACATGCAAAGACATATATCTCCATGCTATACACTTAATTATACAATATACAAACATTTTACTTTGATTCAATTGTATAGAAATGCAAATTTTATACAGATATTGCAGCGAAATAGGCCAGCAAATTATACAATTGTAGCGAAATACAATTTTCTCTCGATTCATACAAAAGAAGTGAATAAATTGTGTTTCTGTATTGTATAAAGTGAGATAAAATTATTTATACACATGCAAAAACATATATCTTCTTTCTATACACTTATAATTATACAATATACAAGCATTTTACTTCGATTCGATTGTATACGAATGCAAATTTTACATAGATATCGCATCAAAATAGGTCAGCAAATTATAAAATTGTAGCGCAATACAATTTTCTCTCGCTTTATATAACAGAAGTGTATAAATTGTGTTTTTGTTTTGTATAAAGTGAGAGAAAATTGTTTATACACATGAAAAAACATATATCTTCTTTCGATACACTTATAATTATACAAAATATACAAATATTTTACTTCGATTCAATTGTATAGGAATACAATTTTTATATAAATATTGCAGCGAAATAGGCCAGCGAATTATACAATTGCAGCAAAAAAAGGCTAACGAATTATACAATTACAATGAAATAGGCTAGTGAATTTACAATTGCAGTGAAATAAGTCAGCGAATCATACAATTGTTTATATATAGCGAATTACATTTACATGTTTGTTATGGAGCGCAATTATATAAACTTTGTTATAACATACAAATATAATTTTTTTGCTTGCTAAATGTGAAAGTTACCTTTTAAAATATTATACTCTTATAAAAAAATTATCACTCAGTTACATGCATAATTAAATTAAACTATTCGAACAATGTTCATAATCTTATTTTTTAAAAAAAATTAGTACTTAATATCAATAATAGTTCAGATATGGAAAGGATTAAAAAAATTAATATTAAGCTTGTGTTTTTTCAGCTAACTCGCATGCGATTATCCTTTTAATAAACAAACCAACTCTTTTTTTTAAGAATATCATCTTTTGAAAGAAAACACTAAAATAAACATCAATAAAGGAACAAATTATTAAATCACAATATAAATTTTCAATGCCAGAAATGTAAAAAAATGAATTTAGTAGTGTGTGGTTTTCCCTCTTTATTTTGAATACACAAAATTTATCTATTTCAATTTTCTCCATGAATATTAATAAAATTATTTTATTAACTGTGATTTATACAATTTATTTATATCTAACATTTGCATATATTAAGCCTATCAAAAAAGAAATTGATTAAAATCAAACAATGTTAACTGAGAATTCTTATTAATTTTGAGGTAAGAGAGATTTTAACTTTCATTTATGATATTGACAGAAAATTGTATAGAAGTAAACATTTAAACTATATTAAATGATATAGCTATTATTTCAAAAAATTCGTGACTCACATATACAATTTCCTTAAATATTGTTATTTACTTAATTTGTATGATTCGCCCAAAATTGTGTAATTTGTCTGATTGCATAAATCACAATCTTGTAAATTTTAATTTTTATTCGTATAAATCTCTAATTTGTATGTTTATTTGTAGCAATTTATCTATAATTTATGAAAAATTCACAATAGATTATCACGTTTGTATGTTGGCACGGAGTTCTTGAAAAATTCTAAATACAAAAAATTGTATATGTGTACACTATTTGTAATTGTTTAACACATAGGCTTTGATATAGTTTTTCAAAACAATTAAGCATCCTATAAGTAAAATATGTTGTTTGCCGCAGAGGAATCCATCAACTTCGTACAATTGAAAGAGCTCACTAGCCCTCTATATATAATTACAATAGGAGAAAATGTCTGAAATTTATTCAAACTTTGATCGAAATTGTTGTAACAATACTAAACTTTGAAAAATGAGATTTTACCCCCTGCACTATTTAACAGTGTATTTTAAATGTATATATGTGTCTAAGGGGACATAAAAAACAGGGAAACTTTCATATATAACTACTTAAAAATAATTAGTTACTTTCCATAACTATAGTTTGATAATTATAATTTGTAGCTACATGTTATATGGAGGAGAGAGGTGAGCGAGACTGTGAGAGAGAGAAGAGAGGCGAGAGAGAGGGAGAAAAGAGTGGAGAAAGGTGAACTGTATATGTATATTGTTAGATAGTTGTTATTATACATATATATTTCTATATATGACAAGAGAGACTGGGAGATGGAGGAGAGAGGCGAGCGAGACTGGGAGAAAGAGGAGAGGAGAGAAGAGAGAGAGAGAGAGCAGAAGGTAGGAGAGAGGTGAATTGTATATGTATATAATTGTATATGACTGTATATTACACATATACATTTGTATAAATGGCAAGCGAGATTGAGAGAGTGAGGAGAGAGGCGAGTGAGAGAGGGTAGAGAATGGGAGAGAGGTGAATTGTATATGTTTATAGGTTATGTATTTGTATATCCTGGCGAATTATACAGACACAAACATGACTAATTATACAAACTCGAAGTCAGCCTACGTCATTACTGTATAATGTTAGTCGCAAGTGCTAATTATAGCAAACTATAACTATGATGAGTAATTTAATAACATAAGTTTGCTAAGCCAAATAATTTTATCCCTAAAAAATATTTGCATAATTATAAATAGTAATGTGTCCATATGGACACATATATACCTTTAAAATATACTATTAAATAGTGTAGGGGGTAAAATGTCCTCCATAAAGTTTAATATCGTAAAAACAATTTCGGCCAAAGTTGAAGTATATTTCAAACCCTTTCCCATTACAATACTATAAATTGTTTGCGAGCAAACTGTCTAATCAAGCACATAATATCAACAACCAGTAGGTGAATTATATAATAAAAAACACAAAATTCACAAGAATGTAGTTAAACTGTATAACCGAGCATACAAGACTCACTAATCCATAAATGTCAACAAATAATTAAGTATCTTAAAAGCACGTTACTGGCTATGAACGATCTATATGAATAATCTCTATTTCGTATTTAAACATTGAATCATTATCAATAGAGAACAAGTCATAAAGAATAAGAACATTAAGTAAAATAGCAGTGCACAATCAATTGTGATTAAGAATAGTTTATTACAATATTCTAGACAGATCGCTCTAATCTCTAAAAAAGAATTGTCAAAAGAAGGGAATAACCTAAATTATTCCTCACAAAGCTTTATAAATTTATGTCAAGCTCTTAATTATGAATTCAAAATTAATTAAATTAATATTTTTTTTTTAAAAAAAATAAGAAATTTCAACTCAAAGATAATCTTGTTATATTATATCATATCTCGTAATTCAATGTTTATCTAAATTAAAGCAAATCGTTTTCATATTTTTCTAATATAACTACCCTCATTATTGGAAGGAAACAATATACTATATGATCTTTCAATATTGTTTTTGGTACAATAACAATTCTAGAATATGATTGAACAAGTTGAAATATAAAAATAGAAATTTATAAAAAAGAGAGGAAGTATAATAAAAAGGAAGAAATGGGACCTATCTGACGTGTTATCTACACTACGGCAAGTGGGTCCATGATGCTGATGCACACTTGTACCTAACGTTGCTATCGAAAAATACCTTTAACACGTTTAATATTTACGTCAAATTAATAAATACAACAATTTTTTTTATATAAAATACTAATATAAATACCGCATGTTAAATGATAATTTGTTCGTATGAATTTATTAAATTGAATATCATATCAATTTTATTACATAGTAGGATTAAATTAGCTTTACACAACAATAGTGTGATCGTGTTTTCATCTTATTTTTCTTATTATTTATTATTTAATAGTTATCTTTTATCTTATATTCAATTATTTTAAAATATTTTATACATATTTTTATTATAAATTATTATTTATGACATTATATAATATAAAAGATGATTTAATCTAATGTAAAAATAAATTAATTAACATAGTATGATATAATACCATATAATATTTACTTTTTCATATTAATGATTTTGATATTAAAAAGTTATTTTAATTTATAAAAATTAAGAAAAAATTATTATATTTTTATTCCTTTCACCATAGTGTTAAATAATTATGTATTAAAATACACTTCTAATTAAAAATTTTGCAATATTTATATCATAAACATTGTTATAAAAGATAAGTAAATACTTAGCTATAAAGTATTAATTTCTTCACTAAACTCATAAGTCCAATCACTTCGCCGTTGATCAGAAAACTCACGCTCTTTCTCTCTCCAGTTCGTTCATGGCTATCGCCAGCGCTTTCTGCACTTCTCTCCGATCAGCGATCTCCGACGCCGATTCCGGCGTGTACTCTCCTAATCTACCTCAATTTGCTGCCGCCAAGTTGCACTCCTCTGCCGCCTTTCTCACATTTTCCAATGCCGTTGTCTCCGTTTCTAGCCGGAGAAGGTAACTGTAAACTTGAACATATTTCTTGTTTCCTGATATATGATTTAGTTTAAACTGTAAGGTGTTTCTCTGTGTTTATAAGAGAATAAGGTAAATTAAGTTTGAAGATTTTGTGTGAAGGTTTGAGCTACTTATTCGAATCGTATTTACCTGAGAAGCAAGTTTTGGTGAATTAAACGTACGTATAGAATCTCTTCGCTAGTTAATTGAGGGAGAACTGAAATTGGTACTTAATTTGGTTTCTAAGAAATCATCCGACTGTTTAATTTTTGGCATCTAGACTCTGGAGTAGCAAATGAATAATCTTTTTTTCTTTTTGATAAGTGAAACTGTAGTAGTTAATGGTTCCCAGTTATCTAAGTAATTAAATATACGTTTGATTGGTTATCTGAAAAATTTGAGCTGTTTTGTAGGTACAATGTTTCGTGCACTCTTGATGGTGTTGATAGTTTGTCACCAGTATTAGTGAGTTCTGTATCTCTTTTATAGCTAGTTTACCTTGAATAATCATATTTTTATGCGTCAAAATGATTGCTTGAAAGTCTCGATTTTACCTATAGGCTATAAATAAGTACGTGAATCCTGTTTTCTGCATCTTTTCTCATTCGAGTATTAATTTTGTGCATTTTTTAATCTCACTAGATGTAATTTATCTAATTTTATCTTTGAATTTGATTGGTTTTCATATACTGTTACTGAAATAGTTGAAGTACTTTCTGTCTCATGGATCGTCTCGGGAAGCTCTTAAAGCAGTCGGGAATGTATCCTAGGCTACAAGGAGCTAGCAAATTCAGGAATTTTAGTTCTTTGCTTGACTGCGTTGTTGAGGCTATTAATTAATAAAAATCAAATGAACATGTCCGAATCTTCTATTTATCTCATAAATCACATTTTGAGTTTGAGATACTTGTGAGAATAAAAACAAAAGCATGGTTGATGCATTTCCAGTGTGATGATGCATCTGGGGAAAAAGGGGAAGAGTTGTGTTAGGTAGTGGTTGTTTGACATTTGCTTGCATTTGTCAAAATGCACTGCTTTCCGAAGTTGCATCTTGGCAGCTGAAGATAAGAACATCCATTTTAACACGGAAACTGCTGCTTTTTATCATGGTGTTGGGTGAAACAATTGAATGCTCAGTTAAATACTACAATGGACTAATGGCTGATGGAGGATAGAAGAAGTGGAGAAACAAGAGCGAGCCATTCTTCTATGGAAGATTAAAAAGATACTAAACTACAAGGTTTAAGCTGACAATGGCTTTGAGTTTCTTTTCTTTTTTCTGTATAATTTAGTGATTTCTTGTAAACTTGCAGCAAGTGTTAGTGACATCACCATTTGTTGGAAATATAATCATATCACGGGGTGTGAAATGGTATCATTATTTTCCTTATTGGATAAATTCCTTAAGAAGTGTTGGCAAAATTAAATGCTATTTATAGTTTTACTGAATATTCATAATCATGAACGCGGAAAAAATAGAAATGCGGAGATTTGAAAATCTCCTTTTTCTCCAATCATTAGCATCTTCCTTTTATACTTTCTATACTTTCTGATATTTTGCTAGATCATCATGGTGATTATATAATTTCCTTTCAGAAAGACGAACAGGGATCTGTTTCTATTCCTTTGCCAATTGTTCAGATAATTCAGGATCCTGAATGCGATGCAACCACTGTGGAAATTAGCTTTGGTGATCGGCTAGGTCTTCTCATTGACACGGTAAATTCTTTGAACCACCATTCTTAGCCTGGTATGCCAATGTACACATGCATGTTTCTTGTTTGCTTCCATATAAATGGAATTTTGTGAAGGTTCTTCTCCATCTGATGTCGAATTTTGAAAGACGGGAAAGAGATATAAGATATACAACCATCGGAATCTGGACTTCCTTGTCATAACCATTTCTACTTGTACATTAGTTGAGGATGTTATATACAAAGACCGGAACCGGGTCTTCCTTGTTGACATAGCCATTTCTGCTTGTAACATTCGTTGTTTGTCGGATTCCATATCGTCCTGTTGAAAATACTCTGTGATAGTCCTAGAGATATCATTTTCCATTGAGATACTTTCCTGACTGGTAAACACTTAAATGGACCTACATCACTATATATATATATTTTTAAAAACAATTGATTGTAGTCACCCCCCCCCCCCCCCCCTTCCTTAGGTTTCTGATTTTTGTTTACTGGCCACTGTCAGTTTTTAGCAGAAAGAGTTGTTTATCACGATTATTAATATGTGCCTTATGCATTTTAAACACGAGAGATGATTTGTTGGATAACTATTTGGATGAGACTTGTCTGCTTGCCTTTCACTATTGGTATACCCATACATCATTTTTGCAGACTATTTCCTTTTCCAGGGTCTAGTGCTTTTAATTTTGCTGTCTTGACTTCTCCTCAAGTATACATAGCCAACTAGTTGATCTTGTATGTCTTGCAGATGAAGGCACTCAAAGACTTGGGCTTGGATGTTGTGAAAGGAGTTGTTACGACCCAGGATTCAGTGAAAAAGACAAAGTTTCTTATTACACGATTGTAAGTGTGTTGATTAACTTTTACTCCATTGAATATGTGCATTGGAATGTTAATACATGGAATTAGATTTTCTGAATATTTGTAGTAGTTTGTGATTTATAGTCTTTCATTCATATTATTTATTAGAAAAGATGTTTGCTAATCATTCTGGCTATGTCATTTTCTTCACACTTCTGCACATTTTGAGCATTAATCAGTATGGTCTGCAATGCAAGTTATCTGATGGAAAGTATTTTGCATATTATTCTTTAACTTCTTTATCTGCTTGCTCTGATACTGTTTGATGCTGAATCTTCTCTATAGTTTTTGAGAATATATGGGAATTGTCAAAGATAATGCAAGTCAAATTAGCCGAATTTGAGCAATGATGTTGGATTATATGTTGCATATTTCAAGGTTGCATAGTTGAAACCCTAATCTAGATGGAACGAGGGGTGGGTATGCCTGTAAAATGATTTACCCTGTAGCATGTATGTCCTGTTGTGAAATGATACAGAAATGGTGGACGTCCAATAGCATGCTGTGATGACTACGTGTAACTTTCTCCAATTGTGTTCATCTTCATATCTATTTTCTATGAGAAAGACATGCGGTGTTACTCCATAACTTCCCTCTATCTCCAGTTAATGATATCCCTCCATGTCTGTCTTTTGGCATATGCCATTACATTTTCAGCTTAGATGCCATTGATTGTTGCTCTCCAGGGATACCGGGCGCAAAGTTGAAGATCCTGATTTATTGGAGAACATTCGTTTGACCATAATCCAAAACCTTATCAAGTATCATCCAGTATGTTTCCTGAACTTCCCTTTTATAATCTCTAGAAACATCTTGAACCTATACATCCCATCCTGATTGATCTATCCTGTGATAGAGTAATTCTTCATGTTTTTATGATCCTTAGTTTGCTATTGCAACCCTTAAAGTAGAATATTTTATGTTTATCAGGAGTCCAGCGAGCGGCTTGCCATGGGTGAGGCTTTTGGAATAAAAGCACCAGAAAAGAAGGTGAAACATTCAGATAATTTAGTTGTTTCCTCTCTTCATTCCAGGGCCTCTATGTCAATACAACAATTATGCCTCAATCATAAGCTAGTAGAGTCGGATGTATGAAATTTGTTCGGACCTCTTTCGACATCTACATGCTTACAAAATTTCAAGTATTTTACAGCTATTGCTGATATAGATGTATTGATGTTATCAAACTGTTTGTTCGTGAACTGCTGCTGCTGCTACTACTACTATAACTATAATTATCATTATTTATGTATTTATATATTTTAAAAATATTATTATTCCTTTGGTGGAGGGAGCCATAATAAACAATTTCGCCACTTTCCTGTTACCCTTCACATGCATGTGTTCTGCTTTAGGTTCTATGGTTTGGATGAATGAAGGAGATGCTACCATATCATTCTCACCATCTTCTAGAGTTCATGATAACTGTTGTTTCCCATTTGAGGCAAATAAAATAAACAATCTTTCACTTGCCTATGCCCCGTCAAGTGCATGTGATCTGCTTTTGGTTCTATGGTTTGATTGAATGGAGGAGATTCATCATTCTCACTATCTTCTAGACTTCATGATAGCTGCTCTTTCCCTTTTGAAGTCAAATAACTATTTTGCACTTGAAAAGGGTGTGCATATTGATAAGCTTTGGGCTGTTGACAAATTTAAATGTGTGTTAATAGAAATAGATATTGGGAGGTGGAAAAGCAACGGGCGATGTGAAGGTTGTGAAAAATTGAAAATATTTTTGTGGTGTCTTGGGAACACTTCAGTTTTATCTTATCATCTGTTGGTTTTAGTTATGGTGCTATTTAGGTGGCTTCCCATGAAATCTGGTCACACTATACCAGTAGTCGCCATAGTTGTCATTTCACTGTGAGTTTTTAAATCTGCTTGCATATTATTTGAGGGAAAGCTATGACTACATATGGGTACTCTACCTTCCATTCAATTTGCTAGTTGTCCTTGCGATATCTTTATGATTGTCAATACTTAAATAGTGGGCATATGTTATAATTATTACTTCCTTGGGGAAAAGCTTGCTACTCCACCTATATCTTCTCTTATTTCTCCTCAACCTTTTTGAGTGTACCTAATGAACTTGTGCATTGCTCCATGGCAGCCGGATGTTGATATCGCGACTCATATACATGTTAAGGATGATGGACCTAAGAGGAGGTAGCATCTTATGGCAGCTGTTTTCATATGGCTCACAATTACCCACTTCTTGATTAGTTTAATGTTGATGAGCAATTGAAATTGGTGATGCGACACATACTGACATGCCTGTTTTTTGGTTATTTCAGTATGCTGTATGTTGAAACAGCTGATCGATCTGGTTTGCTGATGGAAGTCATCAAAATAATGGCCGATATTAACATTCATGTTGAATCAGCAGAGATTGATACAGAAGTAAGTTTCTTTTCTTCCCCGGTCGTGCAGATGTGCATCTTACATTCGCTCTCCCAAAGAAGAAGTGTATCTTACATTCTTCCATGTTAGTTTCCTTTTCTTAGTTTGCCCTCAACTTCACTTTTGAAAATGTATAGGGTCTAATTGCAAAGGACAAGTTCTATGTCAGTTACGGTGGAGCAGCATTAACTCGTTCTATGTCTCAGGTAACATATAGTTGTGAAGTGGTTCCTAACTCTTCCCTATCACCGCGTTGTCCTCTTTTGCTATCTCTAACTCCATCTTTGAACTCGCAGGTGCTTGTAAACTGCCTGCGCTATTACCTTAGGAGGCCTGAAACAGATGATGAAAGTTACTAGCCAGCGCCCATCCTTGTATGTACACTATATGTATAAACCTTGTTTGCCAATCAATGCAAGGGCTTGAGTCATCTCAGTTGTCATGTAACATATTATGTCTGAGTCGTAATTTATGTTATGCATTTGTCACTCTCCATTCTCGTCATGAATAAACTAAACAAACTGACAGGACTACTAATGTCATGAAAATGTGCACAATTTCTTCCTATTGTCCTTCTATCGAAAGTAAAACTAGCGGGATCAGAAGACATGAAATAGTTCAGCATATATTATTATATGTGGGAAGATTCGTGAAAAGTTGAATTATCATTTTATCATTTTACTATAGTAATAAATGAGTACATTGACATTGCTTTTAATCGTATCATAAATTCGTATGAATGACCACACTTTTAGAAGTGGGTACAAATTAAGTGGCAGCATCGATCTGATGCAATTGAAACTTATTAGTGCACGACAGCACGAGCGGTTGTTGTCATTATCATCACATTATTTTCTTTTGCTTAAAAGTAAAAAGCCACTTCATATGGCATGTTTACAAGAATGTTGATCATAACTTGTATCATATTGTATTATTAAATTCATTGTCGTGTAATGGTGAAAAGTGTTGTTATCTGTAACGACAGATTTGATGTGATTGTATTATTGCCTTTTTCCCCCTTATCTAGTTCTTTATTTTAATTATTTTATCCTTTTTTTTTTATATAAAAGGCAGCATTACAATGTAAAAAACCCTCCATATTAATGCAGTAAATCAAAATAATGACTTTAATAAAATCAAAGTTTTCTAACATCATTACCATGTCCTAAACATGATGGATAATGGTGGAATTGTATCCACCTAAACCATTAAAGAGTTGTTAGTACTGATGATCATCCAATCCACTACCAGAAGTTCAGAAAAACGAAGTTGGTCTCCTTAGATATGATAAAATATTTGAATAATTTGTTGAGAGGCACATAGCATATCATATTCCTTGGAGAATATCTTTTAATATGAATTTACAATAATTTAAAAGTTTTTGTGAACAATCCAATAATTTAGATATGAAACTATAAAACGAACTATACTAATTTAGGATTCAACCTGTTGGGATATGCACAAGTTTGGTGACAATGTCCATCATGTAGCATTATCAATTGTTTATCATTTTCTTTTGCCTTTTGGAGTTAGTGAGTTGTGAAAATGTGGTTATATTATATTCATCTGTCTTTTAATTCAAGAAAAATCTATTTCCTTTTCCTGGGGATCTTATTTTAAAATCATCACCTTTTGCCATTATCTTTCAAGAAGACAAAATCAGAAACATGGCAAAGCACTAATCCTCCATATCTTAATTCACAAGCAAAGCCTTTGCTTGTGAAACACAACATTGTCCTTAAAGAATTACTCCCATTCCGTTCATTTTTACTTGTTCAATATTGACTTAGTACTCACCCCTTACGGAACAATAAATAAAATGACAATTTTACTATATCACCATTTGAATATAATAAATTTAACGCCTATAGATAATAAGAGTGTAGGTATTAAGTGATAAATTATCTCTTGATTTTTCAAACCGGACATCTATTTTTATTACAGTGAACGAAGGAGTATTAGTCCTATAAAAAGAAACTTTTCTCTATCCCAGCCTTGGCAGACATAGTTACCTTGTACACGTTGTTGATGGGGTGATAGATATCTCGTGGAATTAGTTGAGGTGCGCAAAAGCTGACCCCGACGTTTTCTTAAAGTTAAAGTTCAATATATATTTCTCAATAGTAGGCCAATTTTTTTGAATAGAATCTTTCTCTAGGTTTCAATATTCCTTGCTACTATATATTTTATGTGTTTATTCACAAGGTTTGAAAATTGAAACCAGAGTCTATATAAAGTTTCCAGCTTTTTCATTCTTGAATATTGAAAAATGATTCCTTCACAAATGATAGTTTTTCTAGTTATTTTTCTTCAAAGCTATATAAGCCTAGCATATGATCCTAATCCAGTTAATGATTACTGCATTCCAAGAACAGAGTTTTCTTCAATCTTCCTTTCTTGCAAGAATACATCACTTGTCACAGTCGATGATTTTATCTATTCGGGGATTAAAGATCCCGGAAACTATAAGCATACTGGATTTTCATCCATTCCAGTAAGCTCCACTGTCTTTCCTGGACTTAACACATTAGGGATGTCATTTGTGCGCGCTGATTTTGACATTGATGGTGTCAACGTGCCACATTTTCATCCGAGAGCAACAGAGACTGCATTCGTGCTCGAGGGGAAGATTTATTCAGGGTTTGTTGATTCAGGAAACAGAGTATTTGCTAAGGTTCTTGAGAAAGGAGAAGTCATGGTGTTTCCAAAAGGTTTAGTTCACTTCCAGATGAATGTTGGCGATTCGCCAGCGACTATTTTGGGGAGCTTTAACAGCCAAAATCCTGGATTAGTGAAAATCCCATCTGCTGTTTTTGGAGCAGGAATTAAAGAGGAGCTCTTGATGAAGGCTTTTGGATTGAATGACAAGGAGATTGCTAAATTGAGGAAGAAGTTTGTTCCTCAATAGCAGTTGATTATAGGAAATATTTTGTATTCAGTAATGCAACTAAATTACCTTAGTTCCTAAAGATGCTGCATGGTTCTAAAGGTTGCAACTTGCAACATATAAGCATACTGATAATTGGTAGTAATTTCTTTTAGTATGTGTGAGTTTTGTGGGGAGGGCGCTGAGATTCATGTTCGTATGTAGGTTAAAATGATTGTTCAAATCGACTAATACAAGGCCAAAATGATTAGAGGTGTTGGAGGACACGAATTATGGTAGAAGGTTAGTAGGTAGTAGTGTGTTATCTCACTATCCGTTCATAGTATTGCTCCTGTAGTTTCTTTTCCTTAGATTTTCGTTTTTTCTAGTACTTCATTATCATATTATTTTGATGTAGTTACTGCTCAGTGTGCTTTTCCCTTCCGTTACTTCTTGCTGGACTTGCTTTAGACTGTTTTTTCTTGAGCCGCGGGTCTATTGGAAACAGTCTTTGTACCTCTGAGACAGGGGTAAGATCTGCATACACTCTACCCTCTCCATCCTCCCCAGACCCCACTTTATGGGTATACACAAGGGAAGTTATTGTTGTTGATTAGTTTAGGCCAAAACTATTCTACAAGATCCCAAGAAAAGAGTTAGAAATGTAGGCATTACATGCTGTTATAACATGATTTATCAAGTATTTTGTTGTCTTCCACTCAGATATAGTTCTGTTTTTTGGTCATAAACTTATCTACATCAGAATGGGAAAAAAGAAAGAGAAGAATCATTATTTCAATGGAAAAAAGCAAAAAGGGTGAAAGCAAGCATGCTGCTATCATATTGATAGACACCATCATTTCATCAATGTTCAAGCTGTTAAAGTTTAAAGTTTCTTCCCCACAAGTGAAGAGATGATGAATCATGAACTAGTAGTGTTCTTAAAGGCTCGTCTTAGGCATGCTTAAGCCCTGAACTAAGGTACAAAAAACAGGTTGTGTGCTTCGTCTTGCTTAAGTGCGTAGTTCTTTAGTGTTGGCACCAATGCTACGGTGTAATAAACTTTGGAGTTTTTCTTCACTATTCGCCTTTGATAAAATTGAGACTAACATAGTATCTCACATTCAGAAGCATCAGTTGTTTACATAGGATACAACATTAAACACTCAGCACTGAAGTACAGTGATGAAAACATCAAGCAAGACTAAAAAGGAAAGATAACTTAACATTGAAAATAAGCCATCTCATCGATGACCTCCTAGCTATATCATTGTTACGTCTTACTAACTAGAGCATGACATTCAGCATTTCGTTCCAGGTATCAGGTACTCCAGGAAGGCACCAATGACTACAATCAGATTTATAGTCTCCTAAGTGCTGCTTACCTGTTTGGCTTACAAACTTACTATAGACAGAAGGATGCCCGTCTCTTCGAAGAGCTGTCATTGTTGTTATATCCTGGAAAGATACCGGAAAACTCATCCCTCGTAGCACCTCTTTTAGCACCAACAGTGGTTCTGGTACATGCGGATGGCTAAAGAACTCCAGAGGCTCCCTCTGGTTGAAGCATTTCCATCCATTTTCCCTAAAGAGTCATAACAAGAGATATGAGATTGAACATTTTATAATTGAAACTAACACACATTGTAGTATGACGAAATGTTGTGGCATTCGAAAAACTCTTCAACTTTGAACTTTCCATTTTACCCTTAGCGATATTGCTCTAATAGTCATAGAAATGTCATAACATGTTTAAAACCACAAGCTCTAAAGTAACCAAAGTCTTTTTTCGTTCTTTGGTTCCGTGCTCAGTCAAATACCATCATATGAAATGAAACGGAGGGAGTAATTAAGATGAGTACCTGTTATGTCGAGGTGACATGCTTCTGAAGAAAACTCGAGTTTTTCGAGGATCAAGATTCAAATCAACCCACTTAGCCCATGTCATTAGTCCTTTCTCATAGGCAACCATTGGGTTCATGTTTCTATAGAAACTGTTCCCTTCCATAATCAAGTCCCAACTGAAGCCAGTGAAATGGTATAATTAGACTATGTCATGACCTCATACGATTTAACTCATAAAAAACCGCCTTCATAGTTATAGTACTAGTTTTTCTAGTATATATTCAAGAATCACATGAAGAAAATGAAATTTATCTTACGAACTATATTTATCGGAGTGAGTCCACCAATGAGCTGAATCAAAAACAAGAACATCAGCTCCTCTCCAATACTTTGCATTCTCTTCAATCATGTCCAGATGCAATATTCTCTTGTTTTCTGGTCCTTTCTTCAGTTCCACCAAGAAAGGAGCCCAGCAGAATTCTATTGTTGTCTCGAAATCCTTTAAAACATCGGTCAACCATTAGTACTTTTATCAGTTACAAGAGTTTTAACTTCTATACACTGTCCGTATAAAAAATATACTAAGATTATCGGACAGCTACAAGTAAAAACACTTACCATAGCATGGAAGGCCATAGTAGGACCAACATAAGTTACTGTTTTTCTAGCCATAGGGATAACAGATTGAACTAAGCAAACAAGAGATTCCCATTGATTCCTCATTATAGAATCACCA